GGGCCGGCTCTCGGCACCAGCCTTTTTAGCTACTATAGTTACGGTTGTGCGGCTACAAGAGCTGGTGGACATTCTGACGACCGGGCGGCATTCATTTTTCTATTGGTCGCTAGATAATCACACGATGCCATGGTCGTTGCTGCAGCTAGTCGTGTTGAACCAAGTGGGCGGCAGAGCAGAAGCAGCAGACAACCACAAGCTCTCCGACCAAAAATAGGGCAGCGAGCTTCACGTTACGTACCTGCGCGGCGCTGCCCCGAAGTCTTCCGCCAGCTGACCGGCTCGTCATCCGAGAGGCCCTCGTCTAGCTCGGCCAGCTCCTCCTCGGTGGCGGTCATGAGGCCCTTCTTGGTCGACTGCCTCTTCCGCTTCTGCCTCGGCCTCTCCGGGGACTCTACGTCGCCGTCGCCCCGCCCCCCTGCCGCCGCCGCCACCGCCGCCGCTCCTTGTTGCTGCTGCTGCTGCTGCTGCTGCGCGGCTTGGTGGTAGCCGTCGTATCCTCCGGCCGCCCCGCCGCCGCCATTGACCATCATGCTTCTTGCGCCCTGGCCGCCGTGGTGCAGCGCTTCCTTCAATTCTCTACGCGCCATCGCCTTGGCGGACGCTGGGATGTGGTACTGACAGTGCGGACACATCATGCTGAGAGCGAGAAAGGAAAGGGGGGTGGGGGGTGAGCGGACAGGCGCCCCAAGGGCAGTGGGAGGCAGGCGGGGGAGAGCAAGAAAAGGGAGCAAGACAACGATGTTGGTCGAGGCGAACATAACCGTCAACGCTTTGGGACGTTGCAGCGGCTCTCGAGCCCGCATTCTTTCAGCGGGTTCCTTGAGGATATGGATTCATTCAACACCTTCTCACGATCCTAAAAAAAAGAAATGGGGGGCGTTGATAAGGCAAAGTTCGGGGTAGTATCCAACGTAGGCGTGGAGCGTAGACTACAGCAGCAACGGCGTTTTCTTTTTGTTCTCCGGTCAAGTCATTGTTCCGCCAATCATCTTCCACCTTGGGTTCATGACACAGCAGAGACAACAGCAAGCGTTGTGCGATACAAGACAACCACGCTACTGCTCGCTGAGAGAATCGATAAAGGCGTGCTCCATCCACCACGTGTGTGCCAGAGGGCGGTTCTCTTCGTGATGGCTGACGCGCGTGTCATCTGGTAGCTTGCCTGCGGATGGGTACGCCCTGCAGGCACCGGGGGCAGCGGCGGAGGCAGGGGTCCAGCGGCGGCATGCCCCTCTTCGTTGCCTCAATCTCGAGCTGTTCGGAAGATGGTAGCACGTCGGCGTTTCCCGGTGCTCCTTGGCCCACGCCAGGCGAGAGCGGTTGCTGTTGATACCGCTGCTGCGCCATCTGCTGCAGCTGCTGCTGCGGCGGCGGCCACTGACCGTGGCCGTTCATAGCTAGGGATCGCTAGCAGCGGCCAGCACTGGGGCCGTTAGCTTCGACAAAGGCACCACGCGGGGTGTGTGGTACCCCTGTCCTTGCGTGCTACCCCTGCCCTGCTCGCCTGCCGCCGTTTTCCGTAGGAAGAAATCTTGGGGGTTTCTCCGTGCCTGAGTTTGGGAGAGAGCAGCACAGAGACCAAGTTTGCGCGCGATTTAGGAGGAACGTCGGGCCGAAAAGGGTAAACCCAAAGGTGCACAATGGTTCAAGGAACAGGCGGGGATGGGTTTGAGCGCGTGGGCGACGAGCGCCATCAGTCGGTGAGGACATCCGTCCCAACACCAGCTCGCCGTGATTTTGAAAAGTGTTGATGTTTTAAAAGGGAGACAGAGAGAGAGATACCAGGCGCAGCGCTCTGCAAAAAAAAACGCCTTTGAAGCTCGGCCGACATCCCCCACGGCGGCGCCAAAGCACCCCACAATCTGTAAGCTCCTGCGGCTCCCCAATGAGCTCTTCTCTTGTGCTGAACTGTCCGGAAGGACGCAGCAAGCGAAACCAAAGCGTGTTTTCGCCGAACGCGCCGCTCTTTTCGCAAAGGGAACGGAGCCTCCACCCACTCCAAGCATACAGCGTGGGAAAGGACACGCTCACGGAGCACAGCAGCGCACACACACCGCCCCAGCCAACGTCTCGGGTACCCAAAATTAACTGCATGGGCTTCCGATTTAAACATGAAACGTTGCGGGTGAAATCTTGTTGAAAGATCACCTTTGCCCGCCTGCGCTGTTGATGGGCAAACGAACGAACGTTAGGGTGTGTGCACGGGCTGCGCCAACGAGGACCCCCCCCCAGCTCCCCTGCGCGACACACTGCTGCACGGGCCCGTTCCCCCTGCTGTAAGCTACCACTGGTTCAGTGCCAGCCGTGTCAGCTATTCGCAGCCACCAGCGGAAGTGTGTGATGCTCACCTTACGATGTTGAACGACCTTGATGATGCTAATTCAAATGTTCCCACGGACCCATGGGCCTCGAGCGTCTCTCTATCATAGGAACAGAGGAACGTCCATTTTTTTCCCCTCTCGAAAAAGCATCTCGCCCCGGTATAGAGGCTTTACACATTTTTTTTCGGGGTTGGTACGTGGTTTGTCCCCGGGGGCCCGCAGATAAAATAAAGCATATCCCTCGAAGCCTGATGTATGCGGACGCTCTGGTGCTGGTAGATAGACCCGTGGAGATCCATGATCAGCATGCTGATGCGTGGGGATCGTGCTGTGCACTCCCTCCTCCCTCCACAGGCTGCTGTACCTAACGATCCATTGTTGTTCAGGCAGAGATGTGAGTCCTACGCTGCTTGCAACGGGCAGATACGTCCGCTCCTCTCCGAGGGCGGAGGGCGGATCTGTTCCTCGCCTTCATATTAGAGGAAAAACTGAAGCATTCGACGAATTTCGTTTTGGTGCTAGTGTAGTCTACAGCACATGCCTGATAGGCACAGAAGCTGACGACTGTTTCCTGGGTAGACTACTGCCGTAGGCTATGTATCTCTGCACTGAAGTTCTGACGACCTCTCTTTAACCAAATCCCACCGCCTTCCGCCAAGAATTATGGAACATGGCTGCGGCGGTCGTGGACTAGACTAGTACATGTTACAGCATAATCTACAGACCAGCGCCCAACACTTGAGCAATGGGTAGCCTCGCAGCCTGCTAAGGGTAAGGTCATGGGTTCGAGTCCCGGCAGAGAGAGTTTTTTTCTCACTAAATAAATCCTGGTCTAGGATAAAAGCGACGCGCTGCAAAGCTCTTAGTAAACCATAATCGACTTCGTAAGTCGCGAGGGAAGGGATTGCTGTACCCTCCTCGCGATAAAAATACCTCAGGCATGAACCGCAGGAGAGGGTCCAACCCCCTCCTCCTATGTGACCCCGGTTGGGTCGTCTAGCTGGTAGAAGTGGAGGATAGGGGCCAGAGGGGCAGACGACAGAGTCCAATGATGGGAGAAAAAAACAACAACTTGAGCAATGAGTCCCACGAGGCATTCTAGTCTTCAAAGCGCTCGTTTGTTCATGTGGCAACAACCGTGCGATGACACGCATGTCAGTCAGGTGGATCGATGGTGTTGCAGATGATAGAGGGACAGCGCAGGGACGCACCGGGAACTTGGTACATGGCGGCCCGTGTCACAAGGCCTCACGTTGGACGGCATTGCATATGGAGTCATCCGTGCTCACACCATGGTGGCAACAACTGAAAAGGCCGTTCTGTTGGATCTCCGAAGTAGTTTTCCAACCCTCTGAAGCCGGGATACTACACTACACTGCGGTAGTTTCCCACCTACCTGCCCCAGGGAACATATGCATGCACAGCAGTTGTCCCAGAATCCATTAAATGCGTGTTTCCATTTTTTCAACAGATACAAGTTTTTGGTTGGCCGATCTTAGTCCTAGAACAAAATGTTCCCCCGGCAGCGCTTCTCCACCCTTTTCA